TTGGTATGGTTTTGCATCCAAACCAAGCATTTTCAAACTACCTCCAGAGGAAGCTTGCTACGGTTTCATGATGTCACAGTAGTAAACAAACCTCCAATATTATCAACAGAAATGAGTAATAACAATAAAATAAAATGATAATTTACTCTTTTGTTGGCAATAGATGATGTTATAAAACTAGCAAGTTGTTATCTGTTTGTTCCAATCAGAAGCATTATCTGGGGTATAATAATAGTTTTCTTATTTTAAAGAAGATAAATATTAGCTACTTATAACTGAATTATTGCCATCCTGGGGAAGTTTGATGTGCATTTTTATTTTCCTTTGTTATTTCCATTCTAAAACTACAGTTTGAAAGACCTAGCTTTGATATGAATAGTAGATATTATGCTTTTATATTGTTGCTATAAAGTGTGTGGATGCTTCTTATCTCTCTTCCCTTCCCTTCTCTTCTCTTCTTTTTATTTCATTTATCTTCTGTTAATTCAAAACCAAAAAATTCTGTCACCCAAGGCAACGAGGAATGAGTCATCACCTGTTGCGGTAGTTTGTTTATTTGGATAGCAAGCTGAGACTGTTTTTGACAGATTTGGCAAAGTGTGTGTGTGTTTCTTTTCCTTCCTTCCTTCACACACCAATATAAGTCAGCAAACCTTCACTGCAAGATAGAAATTGTACTGGATTTCTTTGTTGCCTTGCCACCAGTGATTATTATATGCTTATAGTGACATTGGTTAGAGTTAGGGGATATCACTTGATGCTGGGTAGAAATACTGAAATCAGTGTAGCACGTTTAAGCATTTAAATGAGGACAGCATGAAATCATGCAATAACTGTTGTGGCATACCTTTCACCATTGGCTAATTGGAGTGAGTTCCTATTAAACACAGCTAAAGTGAATGGAAACATTTAATTTGTTCAAACAGGGAATCTGCCATCGTAGTCCAAATAGCAGCCCAGCATTCCTGATCATTAGCCATTTTTTCATACCACAACTATTGGGTTAAAGAGTATGCAGCAGTAATAGTAAATTGCTAGAAAAGTCTACAAGCTCTCTCTTTATGGGTGTCATAGAACACATATTCTGTATGCATTGTGGTTGTGTTTGTGTAGGTGATTATTTTGTTAGATATCGTTTAATTTGTCTAGGAAGGTTGTAAATGTTCCTGTAGCCTGTTCCAGTAGGAAGAATAAGTGCTTGTGGGATATGAAAGAAACTTGTTGCTGTGTGTATTTTGTTTACTATGTGCATGTGGCACTTGTAAGTATTTTTATTTGTTATTGTCATTAAGGTTGTTTACAATCTTGTACATGATTATAAATGTGCATGTCTTCATGTCTCAAGCAGATCCATGTTTATCTGTTTTTTATTGTGAGTTGTACTACTAAATGATATAATTGTGTGTAATGAAACTGGCTGTCCTAGTGTTAAAGTGTGTGTTAAAGTTGAGTTTATGTGTGAGGTATACTCCGAGGTATTTACAGGATGTTGCAGATGTATGCCATTGGTTGTGTAGTGTAGATGGGCTGTATTGATGTAGGTGATCAGATGAGTTGGAGTACCTTGCATTTATTGGGCTTGAATGTCATTTACCACATGTTTTCCCAGTGTTCCAGGGTGTCTGTGTCCTGTTGGATGAGTCTGCAGTTGTCTTTGGTTGAAATTTTTAGTAGAAAAGTTAGACATACATAGAAGGTCATTAACATGTAAAAGGAAAAGAAGGGGCCAAGAATGGTGCCTTGTATTGTGAAGATATTCTTTATTAACTCAGGTTTTTTTCTATAATTGTCACAGTGAATATTCTTTTACTACTTTTTTCTTGTTTCTAATGTTACTTGTAGTACTTTACCCATAAATGGAATGATACTTTAATGATACACCATATTTACTGGAATTGATACTAAATTGTTTTGTATTTTCCTTGCAGTGATAAGTCAGATTGGAAGAGAGAGCAAAGGATACTCCGAATTGGCATATAGGACAGAACCTATAATAGCTGATATTATTATGGCTCTGGTTGACTTGGGCATAACCATGGAGGGTTTACAAGTGAGTACGAAGTGAACGAGATCAGTGTTGAAATTATAATTTTTTTTCATTATTATTTCCATTACAGTAGATTGCCTTTAATATCAATTTTGTTTTGTGCTGCTTCAGTTTGAATAGTTCCCTTTTTAAAGAACATCTCCCTTCAAATATACTAGTTTAACAGCAAGAATGTTGTTGTTTAGCATTACATACTACCACAGAATGTGTAATGAAATACAAATTAGGGAGATATTTAACAAGCAAAGACAACTATATTTTTTTCTTTTATTTTCAAGGCCTACAAGATGAGGCCAAATAGAGTTGTTATTACACCTCCAGCTCATCAGGTGGACCTCAAACAACATAATGTATTACAAGTTGGAGACAAGAAATCTCACCCATCTCATATTCCTGATCACTTGCCACCATTCCCCGATACACATACATACTGGTAAGTTGGTGTGAATACTGAGAAAAAGATATTTTTCTTTTCCCTTTATCTCAAATACTCATTTTTTAATGGTCTTTCTTTATGTGATGATTGAGTCTCGGTTAACTAAATTTACAGCCACTGAAATGTTAGAAATATAATTGGGATTAATTTTGGTAATAAATCTTGTTTTTCAGACTTCAAATAATATCCAAGGGATCATATACATTTTTTTTCTCATTTGAGCATATATAGGGAATAAAATACTGTGAGGGACATGCAAGTTATACCTCCACTATTAACTTCCAGAGCTAAAACTTTTCTTTTTCTTTTTTAGCTTCTCACATACTTACAAGCAGCCAGTTACTGAGTATGAGGCAATTCGAGAAAAAGCTGCAACACAGAAGAGAGACATTGAGAGAGCTCTGACCAAATTTGCAGCCAAGACAAGAGAAACTCAGAGCTTATTTTTCCCAGAGGACAAGGAATTTATGCGTAAGGATGGGGCATATTTTCTGAAGTTAGAATTAGGTTATGATTTATTCTTATCATAATTACAAAGAATGGAGACATAAAAAACATATTGCTTGTTGTAGGATTGAAAATTAAAATGTTGTATGGTTGGAATTTATATGTACTGTATTGATATTTTGTGGGTGTCAGTGAGGGAAGTGATGGATTGGCTTGGGTGAGCAAGTTTGAGTACATAATTGAATGAGTGAGTTCTGTATTTCTTTACATATTTTCATCTATTTCATAGTTGTTGGTGTTGATCCAAACCCCAAGTGTTACCTGGATGCCCTGATGCCGCGGGACCAAGTATTCGAAGAGGAGGAAGACAGAACGTGGACAAAGAAGCGAAAGACAAGTCAGGATGATGGAGAAAGTAATCAGGTAAGGCCAGTAGTTTCCTTAACCCCTTGGTGCCGGGTGACGCCGATCGGCGTGAAAACAAACCGCTCGAAAGCTGGCGTGCATCCGAACGCCGCGGCAGCAAGCCAGTGATTTGGGCTGATGTTCCCTACTCACGCGCTCAAAGTCGGTGCGCTGCCTTTGTTTGCTAGAGCGTAGAGTTTTTTTTTCTTTCTCTTTTTCTTTTTCTTTTTCTTTTTCTTTTTCTTTTTCTTTTTCTTTTTCTTTTTCTTTTTCTTTTTCTTTTCTTTTCTTTTCTTTTTCAGCAAGCCATGATTGGGCTGATGTTCCCTACTCACGCGCTCAAAGTGGGCGCGCTGCCTTTGTTTGCTAGAGCGTAGAGTTTTTTTTTTTTTTTTTTTTTTTTTTTTTTGTACACCCGGCGTCATTGGGTTAAACTTGTTGGTTGTTGGATTCCTAAACAGCTGGCTGGGCCCTGGGTCAGGTTTATTTTTATCATGCATTGGCTGCATGTATGACCCAGTCTGGCTAGTGTGCAGTCTGTTTATATACTCAATATCTCCCTTGCCATGAAATCAAGCCATCTATGACTAATGGTTCAGAATGCACACAACATTATATCATGCTAATTAATCTTTACTGATGTAGTTCCATAATATAAACAAACCATTTCCAGTTTATAATATATGAATCTACCCAAGCTATGAACCATCTGTGCTATGGTGAACACTGGTCAGGACTTATATGGTCATTGGTATACAAAGCTATTCATTCCCTAGTAGTTTTCAGTTTGTGATTTTGTTTTTAGAGATGGCCACAAACCCATTCTTGTATTGCTGTTGTCATTGTTGTTTCTGTTTTTGTTATTTTAATAATAATATTATTACTATTACTATTATTTTTATTATTATTATAAATATAAAAGTAACAATATTATTATTATTATTATTATTATTATTATTATTATTATTATTATTATTATTATTAATCATAATATAGCAGTCTATTGTAATGGACACTAAGGTCACCATCAGTATTGGATGGGGGAGGTCACAGCCGCAGTAGGGAAAATATTCTTGGGCACTCTATCTTTCTCTCAAGTGCTCTTCAGATTGCAGGAGAGGCTGTAGAAATGAATGCCTACACTATTTTCTTGTAAAAAAAAATAACAATAATAAAATAAAATTTAAAAAAATAAGTGAATTGAGTGAGTGTGTGAGTGTGATATGGTGACATTACATGATGTTAATTGATGATTAAGTAGATAAGATGGATAAGTAGACAGAAGAAGGGGATGAAGAAGAGAAAGAAAAGGAAAGGGGGAGAAGAAAAGACCATGCAATGTAGGGGTGATCCCCTACTTTGGGTCTGTCTCTGCCTCCTAAGAACCCTCAATTATTATCATTATTTTATTTTATCATCATCATCAATCAACAATATCATTACTACAACTGGTACTACTATAATTAATATTACTTCATACCATTATTGACTCACAACCTTATATAATTACAGGAAAAAGACAGAAGTAATGAATCCCCAGAAACAGAGTTGGATAACCCTTACTTGAGGCCAGTGAAGATGCCACGGAAGCCAAAAGTAAGTTTAACCTGCAAGCAATTGTTTTCTTCATAGCTATTTACCATCTTACTTTCTACTTGTATGTTTCATAATATCTTTGTGTAACCAATGTATAGGTAGACTCCTTGGTTTGGTGTGATATAATTATAAATGAATATTATAACTTGTCTTAGTATGTATATATGAAACACATTCTTGAAAGGGAATTTGAAAATGGAATTATATTTATGGAAATTTTTATTTCTGAACAGGAGAGCAGAACACAAAATCTTCCCTGAAGCAGAGGCTTTGGAGCTGTAGCTTTCAATATCACTAATAATTATTATTATTTAAAAACAAAAATAAAAAAGAAATTATAGAACTTTGTTCAATTGAACATAGATATGCCCTATTAGAAAATAAAACCTGAACAATTTTTTGAGAACCTTTGACTTCAAACCTGTTTCCAATATTTACTTGTTTAATGTCAAAAGTACAAATAAATCAGGTAATGAGCAACAAAAAATCAAACAACATAACTGAACAAAATTCTATTTTGATTGAAAATTTAATTTGAGAAGGTAAATTCAATACTAGTTAACACTTGGGTTTTACAAAATAAAAGGTATACAATTTACAAAATCATTGTATTGAACTTTTCACTTACACTTTTGTAATTGGCTTTTTGCATGTAATAAAGAAAATAATATATCTTCTCAAATAATATACATAATAATTAGGCATTTAACCATTAAGGTTAAAGAAGACAAGATTTTCAAATTGTTCACATACTTCAAGTATTTAAATCAGCTCATGAGCTGGCATTACACTTTATCAAACAAAGAGGAAGTTGAATAATATTTTTTCACTCCCTCTATCAAAGCAAAAGCATACTTTCACTATAGTACTGTCTTGCCTTTCCTAAAATTTCTGATGTAAGAGTAAATGATTTAACAGATTCTTGGGACAAAAAAAGGAGAAGGCTGATTAACATCATGTACACAAATCATGTAATTGTATCTAACAACTTGGTGCTGTAAGATTAGTGGTGCATTTCAACTCTTGGTTTAGAAATCAGTTCTCCCACCTTACACAATGGGAGAGTTATGAGATTTCATAACAATTTTCACTTGGCTGTAAGAAAATGCCGCAGTGAAGGGGAAAGACTGCGCCCATGCTCTCGTCCAGAGCTACATCTATTTGAGGGTGTAAGATCTCCTCCTTGGGTACCTGTCGGTAGTATATGGAATTTAAGAAAATGACATGGACCGAGGCATAGATCGAAAAATTGGCATGGAAGCAGATAAAGAATGATACGGCAACAAATGTGACACACTTTCTGCGACTTACCATCTGCCACTGATATGGATAGTGGAAGCTTTCTGGTTCACGATAGCCTCTGTTGACATCTACCAGCCTAAAGGAATATATTCTTGAAATTAACAGATCTTCTTTATCTGACTATTGATTTTTATAGAAATGATAGTATACTACTATAAAAATGTAATAGTTAACCCATTGCTGCCGGGGAAAATGAACAAAAAATGGGGGAAATGCAGCACTCATTTTTTATATTTTTGTGAAATATCTCTGTCCATAGATGGCTCTGCTAGTCTTGATTTCACCTTCCCTTAAATTGGCGGGAAAAAACGTATTTTTACTAGTGCTATAAATATAGATGGTGTTATTTTTAATAGCAAATTAGGATAACGTTAAATATTTTCCTAAATCGATGAAAAGGGTGAATGGGCGAGACAGGCAGTACTCGTAATTGGCTCATTGGATACTTAGTACAAGTGTAGCCATCTATGTGTAAAAACAATAGAACAAGTCGACTCACAGTGGGCATGGCATGTATGTACATGCCATCCCTGGCAGCAATGGGTTAAACAGTAAAAAGACAATAATTTTTAAATAAAATAATAACAATATCTCTATCTATATATAATCAAGAAAATATATATATATTCATACATGAAAAACATTTAATCATATAAAATAAGTGTTATAAGAATGATACATAAAAGGGGAATAAGAAAGTTATTACCTAGTATTTATGTGATAAATATCAATATAGATATTTAAGCTTATGTAAAAAATAAAATGGTGCTACATACAAATAAACCATTTCTTTATATAACTGTTTAAATAACTGGATCATTTAAATAATAAATGTGAAGAAATATTTTAAATAAATGTAAATTAACTTTTTAACCCCTTACATCTTAGCTTTTAAAAACTGTTAGCCTTCAGTTCCCTCCCAGTATTGCTGTGCACTCAGAGCATCATACTGTTTTTAATTATGTAATTTATATATACAGTTCCAGTGTGTTTTTGGACAAGTTACCAGTCTTATACATACTAAAAGTAAACAAGGTCGTTTTTTTTGTTGTTCTATAAGAGATGAATATAGAACCCTTCAGTACTCTAGGAAATCACATTATGAAATATACTTATGCTTTGTACTTGGTGTAGTTAATTTAGAAGAGAAACAATTTTAACCCAGTGGGGCCAGGTATCAGAAATCTGACAGCATCATAAACTCTGGTGATTTCTGGCAACATCCAGACACTGGGCATGGGAGCCCGCTACATGTAGCAGAGCTTCCTGCTCCAGGCGCTCTGGCGCATCACCGCACGTATAGCAGACCAAGCAGTTTGTTATGATGGCTGTACACATGACCCATTCAATGAAATATACATTATTCACCTGATGCCACCAGGAATGGCATGTAAGGACAAACTATCTCCCCTGTGAGTTTAATTTAATAATTGTATTTACACAGAAATAGCTCCACAAGTACATGTTAGCAATGAGCCAATTATCAGTACTACCAATCTCACCTGTTTACCCTTTTCCTTGATTATCTTCTTTTATCTTATATTGCTATTAGCAGTTTCAAAAACATAATTATTACTATGTCTATAATCATAACAATAGCAGCAATATCAATAGCATTGGTAAATAACAATTCCCAAAAATCTCGGGAAATTGTGAAATCAGGTGTGGTCACGAGGTCCACTAACTGTCTCCTTGGTGGTTGAGTACTTGTGAAGCTATCTGAGTGTAGAGACATCACATTTTCCCCAGATGCATTCTGTTAATTTACTTACTGAAGAAGCAATTCCCTTAGTCTGTTCTGGGTTTTGATAAGAACTTTATCTGTAACATCTTCTCCTTCCTCTAGTACTACATTCATAAGGAATCGTACTCTATTTATCTGCAAGGAAAAATTATCAGCTGTAGTCATTTGGTCAAAACAATTTCTGGTAAATTTATCAAGAACCCCATAGTTTAAAATACATGATCTGCTTACTTACCAACACCAAATCTTCTTGTGTCAAGTGAATATCAAATGGAGCTTCAATATCATCAGCAGGGTATACTGCATTTCCATCAGGATCATGACCAAGACCAATAAGGGCCCCTGTGTACAGCGTCCCTTCTTTGTTTACCCTGTTTTTATAGATAAATAAAAAGCATTTACCAGAACAGATATCTTGACAAGGTAGGTGCAGCTATGCCATTCCATAGACATTTACACAAGAAGAACATTAATGAAAATACTATCTTATTCATAAGATATAAATCCATTACTTTTTGTATCTTGTACCTATCTCTGTTTACCATTTTTGGCCTATGTGTATTATCACTAACATAACTTGCAAACAATATCTCAATACAAAAAGAGTAAAAACAAAAAAGATGAAGTTTTATGGTTTAATAGCTAGCAAGCACTGACAGGACAAAACAATTGAAAATTATATCCCTGTTTATCCTATTTTCAGTAAATGAAAAAAACTAAATCCATATATTTTTGGATGTTACATACTTTCTTTGAAATAGGGTTTTGATAATAATATATTTGGTGTTACTGTTTACACAACTCCTTATTCATTTCTATCTGAATATATATTTCTTAATCTATTAACCCAATGTTAACTGGTTTCATTCTGCCAAACCAGGGATCGTGTGCTACTACTGAGAAAAATCAGTAACTCTGGGAGCACATTTTTACCTCACTCCATGCATGTCTGCCCGCAGTATATACAATTTTCAGCATTAGAGACAAAAACAAAATTTTAGGTCTACATTTAAACTATATCTGCTGGGCCGAGCCTACAGCCTCTCAGGCCAAACGGCAGAACAGTTGCCAGAAATCACTGGAGTCAGTGACACCCAGAGATTTCTGATACCATCATTGACAGGTTAAGGGGCTTCAGTTTGGAGCTGTATCCTTGCCAACTGGCATTTGGCCTCAGTCCATTATAACAAGATTAGGTGCCAACAGTCAATGCTGGGTTCAAATTATAGCTGCACATTCAGTGAATGGGCAAAAATAATGTTTTTTTCTTATGTGTAACAGTTTGTGACTGACCTGAGCTCTGCTACTGGGCAAAACAATAGAAGGCAGAGTGACAGAATTCCAGGTATAGAAGGCATTATCGTTGTGTGATGCAAAGTTGTTACAGTCTCGGTGGGGTTCAAAGTCACAAAGGCAGCAATTATCATCCTGTGTGAAATTTTTGTTTCATAAGTTATAAAATAACTATCTAATACAGTAGAAAACCTGTTCTGGGAGAATGAAAACAAAGAACCAAAGAACTAGATATAAAGATTCAAAAATCTTCAAGTCATGACAACTTGGTAACTAATGTCAAAGAAAAAAAAAGTGCATTTCTCAACATGGAGAAGAAAAAGCTTTTTTCACATCAAAGGCACCAAAACTTTATATAAGCCTTACCTATCATGGGGGTTTTGTGGCTCAAGGTCTAATGCAGTTGAGTTGACTGATGAAGGTTCAATCTTCACTCCCTTTGTGCACCCCATGCGAGACATTGCCACAAAGTGTAGCAGCAGCGGAGATTCTGGACCTTGTAACTTTGCCTATAATTGCAGGAAGAACAACGAAGGGAAGATCAGGAAAACACACGAACTGGCATATTCGTGTGTTTTCCTGATCTTCCCTTCGTTGTTCTTCCTGCAATTTGTTTGACATGAATTCCACACATTTGCCTATAATAATAACATGGTACAGTCGATATTAGTAATATGATCACTTCCATTTTCAAAATATTTCAAATAGACTAATGCCCGGCTTTTAGATCATGTACAGACAGTGAGGCACCAGAATCCAACTAGTCAAGACAGGTGACTGAACAAATATATCCAAGGATGAATTTCATTTACAAATGCTGAAAAAAAAATCATGGTTTTCTAGTTTATATATTTCACAGTGATATCCCTCTCTCTCTCGCTCTCACTCATTCTCACAATCTCACAAAAACATGAACACAGTCTCTACCCCCACTCTATCTCTCTCACACTCTCCTTTTCTCTGTCTGTCAGTCTGCCTGTCTCTGTCTCTGTCTCTGTCTCTGTCTCTGTCTCTGTCTCTGTCGGTCAATACAATAATACAGCTCCTATTGCTTTGTTT